GGAGTATAGAGCTGCCCTTACTGATGTTTTGCAGATTGCCTCCAGCAGGGTGTGTGGGGACAAGGGACCCCATAACCAAGCTACTGACATCCTGCATAAGATGACAGAGGCAGTAGAAGAAGTCTTTAGCAAGCTGAAAAGCATGGAGGCAGCAAAGCTTGATGTTGAGAAACACACAGAAGAGAGAGAACAAGAAATAGAAGGCAAGAAAGATACAATTGAGCCTGAAAGTAGTGCTAATGTGGAAGAAGGTGACACTGATGACATGCACCAAAGTAAGAAAGGAGCGCGAGGCATACTGATTACTGAAGTTGACAAGTGTTTATTTGAGAACCAAAATGTTGCAGCTTCACGTGAAAGCCTCAAACTTGCTCTAAGTGGCATCACAACAGATAAAGCGATCCTGGGAAAAGAGTTGGAAACAAAAATATTTTCACGCTCAGAAACTGCATCTTGCACGTTTCAAGAGAATGCTGGAAAGACATTTGAAAACAGAAAGGTACTGATAAATCTTCCCAAGGTAATGAAAGAAGAAGAGGAGAATGACCGGAACAGTGCCTGCAGGCCACGGAGGTGCAAGTATTTTGATGCAAATAATGAAATAGAAGAAGAATCAGAGGATGATGAGGATTATGTTCCTTCAGAAGACTGGCAAAAGGAAATAATGGTTGGTTCCATGTTCCAGGCAGAGATTCCAGTTGGCATCTGCAAGTACAAGGAAACTGAAAGAGTGTATGAAAATGATGACCAGTTATTGTGGAACCCAGATTTTATAGTGGAAACAAGAGTTCTAGATTTTCTAAGTGAAGCGTCCAGAAGGACAGGTGAAGAGAAGGGAATAGATGCAATTCCAGGGGGATCACATATAAAAGAAAACGAAGCAGGAGCCCCTGATGTACACCCAAGTGAACAAGTTAAAGGCATGAAAAGCAGACTGACTTGGGGAGTCAGAGAAGACAACTGCAAAAGAGCTGAGCTTAATAGAGAGAAGCAAAGCACCCCAGCTGAGTATAGCAATGCGGTGCACTGTTTAGTAGCCGAGGCTACCCAAGATTGTCGACCAGCTGTTGAACAGTTTGTCAGAGAAAAGAAAGGCAAAGTAGCTGCTTCTGATCTAAGCCAAGAGAGAGCGACAGTTACAGAACCAAGCTGTGGTGATAAGATGGGCACGTCCGCACCTAAGCCCGACCAAGGCGAAAGTTACAAAGCAGGTGACATTGGCGCAGCTGAATTAAATATTTCAAACACGTCTGGTATTGCTACAAAGACTTTGAAGGATTGTTTGGGAGCCATAGAACTGGATCTGCTGGCAAAGACTACTGCTACAAGGCCTGGGCGCACTAACTACCTGGAACAGCTGCCAGACTCTGGGAACACAGTCGTGGAATTAAAGGCGGGACTCGGACTGCCTGACCGGCTGTTTGATACCGGGGCTGTCATGATCCAGCGAGAGGCCATGACTGCGTCTCTGGACACCCCCAAGGGAACAGGGAGACTGCCAGACAGCCCAGAGGAAAGCATTTCTGACACTGAGAGGTGGCCACTCAAGGCCGAGCAAGCGGAGGATACCCCTGGGGAGGAAACCAGGCAAAGGAGAGATGAACTAAGCCAGGAGTCTGGGCCTCAGGTAGAACAGCGCTCCATGCCAAGCCAGGCCGAGCATGATAGGATGGAGCTGGGATCAAGGGCTGCATTCATGCAGGAGGAGAGTGCTCTAGACAGCCTCCTTGACCAACCCCCTGAGGATATAGAGATGAGACCTGTAGCATTAGCCGTAGGGAGCAATGAAGGCTCCCAGGAATTCGCAGAACTGATGATGGATGAGCTGGTGACAGAACCAGGTCTTGAAGAGTTTGAGCACCCAGAAAATTTAGCTCATGAAGGAATTGGATGTATAAGTGATATAGAAAAGTTAATTACACGCAAAGCCTTTGTAAAGTTTGCATTTGAAAGTAACTCGGACATTGAGAGACTATCAAACCTGATACTGAGCCTGGGACAATATAACTATGCTGGCAGAACGTACCCAAAAGTCCCATTATGGCTACGAGACCAGACTGAGAAAAACCTCAGATGCTTCAACTACCACATGCAAGGACATATTGCATATAACTGTCCTGAGACTGAAGAGCCAATACAATGTGACATAGGAATAAGGGCTCTGCATAGGATAGTATTGCCTTGCTTAAAGATGTGTATGGTGACTGGTGGTGGTGTTACAGCACAGCTAAAAGTGGTGATGGTGGTAGAGAAGAGTGCACAAACATTGATAGATTCAAGGAGTGAGGTTACTTTGAAAAGTGTTTTGCTCCAGCCAGAAAAATGTGATTTAAGACAAGTGTTTGATATTGTGGGTACACATGGTGACACCCGCACATACCCCATGGCAGAGGTAGAGTTTGCCACAGAGGTAGTAAAAGTTAAATGCCCTGTAGTACATGTAGCTCAAACACAAGAGCGTATAGGTAAGGCCAGGTTTCTGAGTACCTTGGACCTGGTCATAAGGTATTGACAGGTTCCCCTGACAGAGACAGCAAAGGGAAGGACAGCGTTTTCTACTCCCAAGGGGTTATGGCAACATAAAGTACTGCCATTCAGGTGGCATAGTGCACCAGCCCCCTTTCAGCATATGAATAAGATACTTTGGCCCCACGGAGAGAATGCCGCTGCCTACCTTGGTGATATGGCGATTCACAGGGTGGACTTGGAAGCACACCTGGTGAAGGTCCAGTTAGTTGTGAATAATGTAAGGGCTGTCGGTCTGACCGCTAACACTAAGTGTTATCTAGGATTTGAGGCAGCTAACTATTTGGGTTGTCCGCTTGGGTGGGGGTTCCTTAAACTACAAGGGAGCAAGGTAGCAGCCATCTACAATAGGCCACTTTCTGTAACTGAGGAGCAAGTCAGGGCTGGTACAGCCCCAGGTGACG